TGTTGATGATCTCATCAATTATAAATAGTTTTGCTACATAACAGACACTCCCAGAGACGCTTTCCTGGCGCGGAAAACACAGCTTAGTCTTATTAGTTCCACTTGACAAACATTCTATCTTGTGTAACGACTCAGCCGTGTAAGAACTTCAATTCTAAAACTAAAGAACTAAATTTGTATCACTCTCAAATTAATTTTCAGGCTCTGGGATGTTTATGTTTTATATTGATTTATCGTTGTTAATTTATTTTTATTACATAAAATTTAGTGGTATACCGAGTGGTAGGCTGGTAGCAAATCGATAAAACGCTAATCGAGAAATCGTCAAAAACGTCATCATTGTTATGTTTACGTAGCGTGAGGATTTTAATAAAATAAAAAGAAAATTACATGGTCGCTTGGAGATACTAAATTTCTCTTCTCTTGTTGAAATATTTCACTCGTTCGCTGCGTTAGCCTGCGAGAGCATCCGGTTTTTTTCGGCTCTCAGAGTTGTGCGTGAAATAACAGCCGAGAAAACTGGATGCTTTAGCAGGCTGCAGCCTGCGTTGCAGCCGGACGTATCACAAAATCCGCGGGTTAGCCTGTGTGCGGCGCAGGCGGGCAGGCTACTTTACTTTCTGGTGAAAAAGCTTTTAACACTCGAATAGTTCGTATCTCATTTCATATATCTCCAAGGAGACTGGGAACCATTGGTCAGCGGTGGTGATGTGACCAGAAATTTCTGGACCATTCGTGAATCCGATGAGTCAGGAAAAGTCGTATTCCTGATTCACACTATGAGTCAGCAGAAAGTATATAAACGGCTGACCAGAACGATGAGTAAGTACATTGGAACCAAAGCTCCATCATGGCAGACGAAGCCGATCTACTTTCGATTGGAAAGCACTGCAGTTTAGCATCATGCANAATGCATGTAAGTCATTTAAGGATGAGATCTTACCTTGTATTTTCGCCATGTTGTGTTTTTACAGTAGACAGAGATTCCACGATTCGCGCCACACGCTAGCTGTTAATTCTCGAAGCACTTAAATTTCGAAATATCCACAGCTTTGCTGTTCTGTAGCACAAATTTCCCGAGAAACCTTGCGTGGGTAATGAAAGTGAACCCCGGCCTTGTTGATGATCTCATCAATTATAAATAGTTTTGCTACATAACAGACACTCCCAGAGACGCTTTCCTGGCGTGGAAAACACAGCTTAGTCTTATTAGTTCCACTTGACAGACATTCTATCTTGTGTAACGACTCAGCCGTGTAAGAACTTCAATTCTAATGCTAAAGAACTAAATTCGTATCACTTTCAAATTAATTTTCAGGCTCTGGAATGTTTATGTTTTATATATTTATTTATCGTTGTTAATTTATTTTTATTACATAGAATTTAGTGGTATACCGAGTGGTAGGCTGGAAGCAAATCGATAAAACGCTAATCGGGAAATCGTCAAAAACGTCAATATTGTTATGTTTATGTGGCGTGAGGATTTAAAAGAAAATTACATCGTCGCTTGGAGATAGTAAATTTCTCTTCTCTTGTTGAAATATTTCCCTCGTTCGCTGCGTTAGCCTGCGAGAGCATACGGTTTTTTCGGCTCTCAGAGTTGCGCGTGAAACAACAGCCGAAAAACTGGAAGCCGGACGTATCACAAAACCCGCGGGTTAGACGGTCTGCGGCGCAGGCTAACAGGCTATCGCTGCGCTTTCTGAAAAAGCTTTCAACACCCGAAGAGAAGTAGTTCGTATCTCGTTTCACATATCTCCAAGGAGACTTGGAACCATTGGTCAGCGGTGGTGATGTGACCAGAAATTTCTGGACCATTCGCGAATACCGCGATGAGTCAGGGAAAGTCGTATTCCTGATTCACACCATGAGTCAGCAGAAAGTATATAAACGGCTGACCAGAACGATGATTAAGTACATTAGAATCAAAGCTCCATCATGGCAGACGAAGCCGATCTACTTTCGATTGGAAAGCACTGCAGTTTAGCATCATGCAAGCGACTTGACTTCTTGCCGTTTCAGTGCTCGCACTGTAAAGAGGTGTTCTGGTAAGTCTTTTTAATTTTTTCCTGGTTTATTTTCTTTTGAGTTCTGTGAGTCAATGTTTTTATTGACCTCAAGATGAGATGTTACTTTGGTTTACTATTTTAACCGGGACGCTTGGTATATCTACGTTATATGTACATACTATAGCTAGTAATAGCTGTTTCGATCGATGATCTGAATATTTTTTTAGTCTTATTTTTCGTTATTTTGTTGGCTTTTAGCTTAGAACATCGCACCCCAGAAGAACACCAGTGTTCGCATGTCGGATTAACTGATGTAAGTATAAAGGATTATTGGAGCTTGTTGACTAAATTAATATTAAATAATAAATTGAAGCTAATGCTTTATCCAGAGTATGCCCGGCCAGAAATATGGCGTTTCTTTGCGATATGTAACCAGTAAACTCACAAAATAATGATTAAAATTAATCTGGCGATATAGTAAAGGATTTTGCTGACTTACGATGAAACAGCATATATGAGACATCTTGCAAACTGATTTCAATTTTTTTCAATATATGTCGTCTGAATTGAAGGGACTAGGTACGTCCGGAGTCAATAGTCAGGGCCCAGTTGTTCAGAGGCTGATAATGCTATCCACTGGATAAATCACTATCGAGTGGATAAGTGTTGACAAAACAAACTTTTCTATCGTCTGGACATTGATATATCCAGAGATTCATCTATGTATGGGATGCTAGTTCATCTTAGGGTACTTGCCAGTACCCATTCAAATACATCTGGAGAAAGGTATGGTGAGAGTAGAGTGCCCTGCCCAAGAACCCAACACAGTGACCCTGGCCAAAGCTTGAACCCAGACCACTTGATCTGGACTCCAGCATTCTAAACTGGAAGGGTTAAAAAAATAATATGGCTGACATCCTTTAGGAACATTTGTTTAAATGAACACTCTACTCTTCTCAAATAAATGTAGGTTCATGTTCCTGTTTGTCCAATCTGTAATCAAATTATAAAGAAGTCCAAAGATGAGGACATCAACACACAGGTTAGATATTAAGTAGCTAATAATGGTCTTACAATGTGCCTTATTTTTATTATATAGCTAGCTCCGTGAGCGAGCAAGATGAACCAAATCCAGTGATGGTTTTTTTGTGTGTGCATGACAGTTTATGGACCTCTATTCCATCTCAGTCCCTAAATACACACAAAAAAAGAACTTGGCCAATATCCAGCCATCTTGACCTCACGCTTGGTCAATAACCCATATATATAGTGTAGTTTTACTTCATGTGTTTTTATTTTTTATAGTTTACTTGAACTTGGTTTGGAAAAACAGTGTTTTCTGAGAGTTGTTTTTGTTACTGCATTGTAAGACCTTTGCAGTTGTGCTTTGGCAATAAATCTTTTAGAATCCAACTTGCAAGACTTTTACAGTTGTGCTTTGGCAAAAAATTTTGTAGAATCCAAAGTAGTGAATAAATAAATCTCATTAGTTATTGAGGTTGAATGCTCCAATTCTTTGCACAGTAAGATAGCAGTCATGTTACACATGGG